GTGCGGCTCGGCAGCATCGACAAAGACCCCGGCGTCATCGGACCCCTGGTCTGGGACTTGCATTGTCAGAGGATCAAGAGCGGTGAGAAATTTTACTAAAATTTTTAGTCTATTTGAGAAACCAAACCAGTACTATTAAAGGTCCTTTATGAATTGTACCATTTCTTGAAAGGCAATGCACCTGTAGTTTATCCGGGAGGATACCTATTATAGTTGATCTCCTTGGTGTTCTAGCACATTATTTGCGTCTTCTCTTATATAAATGATGTACTTGGCAACGAAACGTTTATTTAAGTTACTTGGATGATCCCACAAAATAATTCAAATATAGAAAACTATAAAATCCTACATTTTAAAAACAACTTAAGAATTAATTAGATACATGGATTAATTAATTAACATTTAAAGCGCCAATAGCCTAATAGATCCCTAATAGCCTAATAGATCACAGTGGTAGTGCCCGCTTTAACATCTTAGCACGTATGGGCCGGCACGCCCGGTGTAATACCACGACCACACAGAAGACAGGCATGAAATGGAAGAATTCCGTGTTTCGTCTGATGAGTGTGGTGCCGGAGGCCTAATTTAATTCCCTTTCTCTTTACCACCCTTTTCTTATAAGGAGGGGTTGGGAAGAGGAAATGGATTTGACGGTGGAGGAGATGCATAGGAAGTGGGAATATCCTCTTTATGTGCGTCTCCTCCTCCGTCGTATAAGGGTAGGTAACGCATCTGCAATTGCAGATGTCTATGGGCAGCGGTCGCTTCGCCATTTTGGCGGTTTCAGGTGGCCACTTGCTCGTTTGCCACCTTATGTTAAAAAAAAAAAATAATAAAGGTACCACTTCCAATCATGTGGTCGAAAGTACGAATCCCGCCATTCGACTATTGACAGCACAAGATATTAGCAGTAACAAAAGATGCTGATATTAAAAAATACGATATTTTATATCCCAAGCATCAAAATCAAAGAGTCCAGTGAGACAAGAGGGCCAGGGAGGCGCGTCCCGCATGCGGCAGCGATACAACGAGCTGGTGGACGACGCCTTCACTCTTTTCGGGAGCGCCTCCAGCGCCTCGCGGGACACGTACACGCTGGATAGAGATGAATCAAGGGAACAGACTGGTTTGTATCAAAAATATTAATTTCTTTATATTTTCATTGTCAATGATACATGTCGGTGTTTGGAATAACTGTAATAGAAATGAAGAAAATGTCTCTTATATTTGCTAAGTATTTTTGTAAATTATTTAAACTGTCATTAGACATTTTTGTAATTAATTATTTTACAGCTATTACTCATGTCTATTTTTCGGTGGCGGCACCGACCAGTTTCACACCCTGCGGGAGTCCTTCTTTAAAGATGCCCTTAAAGGCTTCTCTTAAGCTCTTTCTTATTCCTATTTATATTTGTTTTAAATTTGCTGACTTACAGATAAGGGCGTGACACAAGCTTGCAACGACAACGTCCGGCTCGCCGCAGGGGACACGGCGCGGGGACGCTCCGCCGGCGCGGGGTAACTAAAACTGCAATTTTACAAATCTACTAATATAGTAAAGCGTAAACACACACTACTTTGTGGCGCAGGATGTCAGCAATCACAGCATGTTTTTGAATAATTCCTTCTTTAATAAAAAGCCCTACACTTACTACACGCTTTAGGCTGTATATTATCACGCTATTAATCTTAGGAGATAAATAAATTAGAAAAAAAACCTACATGTGGAAAAGGGACCATAAATTACAAGCTGCCAACATTAAGGAAGCAAAGTTATTGGTAACGGTAATTTTGAGATTTGCGATGGAGAATTTGACAAATGTAAACAATGAAATAAAGTTTTTATAATTTCATGCGGACGAAGACGCACGGGAACAGCTAGTAACTACTAAAAACATATTAACTCTAATAAAGAGATTATGATTTTTATAGATGAGGAATAAGAACATGTCATAGTAACATTATTTGTAGACGGGGAGGTGTGGTTCACACGGGGCCAGGCGGGGGCGAAGCGCCGCGGCCGCGGACTTCCTTCACGCGGGTGGCGGAGCCCCGCGCGCCGCCCGCGCGCGCCTGGGGACACACCCCAACACAGGTAACATACATTTTAACACAACTGTATGAACGCTAACTAGAGCCAGTGAATCATACAATCTATGGCCGTCGGAACTGTACTGGCTAAGTGTGAACCGTGTACAAAGGCATTGTAAAATCTTACTAATATTATAAATACGAAAGTTTGTATGGATGGATGTTTATGTTTGTACCCTAAACTGATGAACGGATCTCGATGAAATGTATCATCACTTACTTTTGTTTTTTTTTTATTTCACGCGGATGGAGTCGCTTGACTTCGAAAACTACTAGACCATAAAACTCTCACTCAGGCCGCTGGTAGTACTAAAGCTGTGATTCATGTGATCTGGCACTAAAATATCCCTCGGGAACCGGACATTTCTCGGGGATGAACCTTATCCCATGTGTACTCCAGACTTTGTTTTATATCTGTGCCAAATTACAATAAAATATGTTGAACCCTTGCAGAATGATCGAGTAAACATTAAAAAACTAAATTAATGAATCCCACGGGAACTGTAACTATTCCCGGGATAAAAAGTAGCCTTTGTGTTCTTCCAGACT